CAGACTGAGGCTGAGGCTGAAGCAGGCTGAGGCTGAGGCTGAGGCAGGCTGAGGCTGAGGCTGAGGCAGGCTGATGCTGAGGCAGGCTGAGGCTGAGGCTGAGGCTGATGCAGGCTGAGGCTGAGGCAGGCTGAGGCTGAGGCCGAGGCTGAAGGCAGACTGAGGCTGAGGCTGAAGCAGGCTGAGGCTGAGGCTGAGGCAGGCTGAGGCTGAGGCTGAGCAGGCTGATGCTGAGGCAGGCTGAGGCTGAGGCTGATGCAGGCTGAGGCTGAGGCAGGCTGAGGCTGAAGGCAGACTGAGGCCGAGGCTGAAGCAGGCTGAGGCTGAGGCTGAGGCAGGCTGAGGCTGAGGCAGAGGCAGGCTGAGCTGAGGCTGAGCTGAGGCCGAGGCTGAAGGCAGACTGAGGCTGAGGCTGAAGCAGGCTGAGGCTGAGGCTGAGGCAGGCTGCGGCTGAGGCTGAGGCAGGCTGAGGCCGAGGCAGGCTGAGCTGAGGCTGAGGCTCATGCAGGCTGAGGCTGAGGCAGGCGGAGGCTGAGGCCGAGGCTGAGGCAGACTGAGGCTGAGGCTGAAGCAGGCTGAGGCTGAGGCTGAGGCAGGCTGAGGCTGAGGCTGAGGCTGAGGCTGGCTGATGCTGAGGCAGGCTGAGGCTGAGGCTGAGGCAGAGGCAGGCTGAGGCTGAGGCCGAGGCTGAAGGCAGACTGAGGCTGTGGCTGAAGCAAGCTGAGGCTGAGGCTGCGGCAGGCTGAGGCTGAGGCTGAGGCAGGCTAAGGCCGAGGCTGGCTGAGGCTGAGGATGAGGCAGGCTCAGGCTGAGGCAGGCTGAGGGTGAGGCCGAGGCTGCAGGCAGACTGAGGCTGAGACTGGAGCAGGCTGAGGCTGAGGCTGAGGCAGGCTGAGGCTGAGGCTGAGGCAGGCTGAGGCTGAGGCCGAGGCTGCAGGCAGACTGATGCTGAGGCTGAAGCAGACTGAGGCTGAGGCTGAAGCAGGCTGAGGCTGAGGCAGGCTGAGGCTGAGGCTGAGGCAGGCTGAAGCTGAGGCTGTGACTGCGACTGCCGTTGCCACTGCGACTGTCATCGCGTATGCGACTACGACTGCGAGAACAACAGAATTCTACAACTGGATTCCCATCTGAATCTTAAGGTGAATGCTTCCAGATATGCTCCTGCACATCGCCGTTAGGTTGCTTTGCCGGGGTAGTAATATATGTTTAAGCTGCCGCTTGTTCGATCAAAAACGGTTGCCAGTCTGGCGGCGCTGGGCGGCTCCACCCCGCCCCCTCCCCCCTCAATCCCCCCCCGCCCGCCCCCCCACCTTCTCCTCGTCCGCCCTCCCTGCGCACAGTGCAATGCGATTGCGCTGCAATGCAATTGCATATCAGTGCAACGCAATGCGATTGCACTGCAATGAAAGGCACAGCGGGCAACGCAACATCCGCATGAACAGACCTCCAAGAAGCGGCGGGCCCACGGATGGGCCCACCCGTCCCCCTACCCCCATCTACTCCGACCCCATCTATCGGGGCCGCGTGCGAAACGCACCCCTGCCCCCCGCGATTTGCGAGGGGGGGCCCCTTGCTCGGGAGCCCCCGAACGAGGTGGACACCGCCCCCCTCTTCAGACATCGCGGGGGGCACGGGGTGGGTTTTCATATGGCCCACTGATCTACCAAGGAGGCCTAGAAGGATGCCCCTTGGTCCTTTTAGCTCGGGCGCGCCCCGACAAATGATTGTGGGCGGATTTTGGGCGACAAATGATGGCTCCGACGGCGGGGCGCTACGTGGGGCCCCTCTCGGCCAATCTGGAAATGGCCCGAGCCGTCGTCCTCGCGATTCGCGAAGCGCCCTTGCTGTCTCCTCCGAATCGTTCTCATTCTCGCCCTGGCGGAAGCCCTCCTCCCACTCCCAGCGTCGCCCCCATCCCCGCCTTTTTTTTTCTCGCTCCCCGCCGCCCCCCCCCCCTTTCTACTGCGCGCGCGCCAGTTCTCATTGGCGCCGTCGCCACCTCGGCCAGCGCGGGCGCAACCTCTGACCGCCACGTTGCGCCGCAGCCGCTGGGGCAACGCCGCGGGCCAGGCCGTCGGGGCAACCCCGCGAGCCGCTGGCGCGCGAGACCAAGCCGCGGGAACGCGCCCGCGGGCTTCGAGCGGGGCACCGCCGCACTCGGGCGGGGGGCAGCACGAAGCCCAGCTCTGCCGCGAGCTGCCCCGCCTCTGCCCTGGAGCTCTCCGCTCTGACGTCGAACTCCAGGAGCGCCTTCCGCATGGGCGCAGGCGGCGCGCGCTCTGTGAACTCTCGCGGCGGCGGCCGCAGGATCGGCGCGTTCCTCACGCGCGTGGCGCGGCAGAGCATGGCGTAGAGATGCAGCCGCCGCCAGTCGTCCGACATGCCCGCGCGGCCAGCGCCCTCGTCTCTCGCGAAGTCGACGGCGAGGCCCTCGCGCGGCGTCTGGCCCCGAGCTCTCCCGCGTGAGCTCCTGGTCGCCGGGCCTGAGCATGAGCAAACTCCGCGCCCGCACCTCGGCCTCGCCGTCGTCGCCGGCGCCCTGTAGCAGCACCTCGGAGACCTCCTCTTAGATCGGAGACTTCTTGAAGCCGCGCGGCTGCAATCGGATCCCCCGCCGTAGGAAGCGGGGGCAAAAGAGCTGGCGTGGCGAGCGCCCCTCGCGCCGCTGCTCGTCGCCGGGGTGAAGCCCGAAGGATGCGACGGTGGCCCGCTGCTCCTGCGCGACCCCCAACTTCTGCTTCAACTCTTCCTGCGCTGCCGCGAGCGGCACCTCCGCGCCGACATGGGCCGGCGAGGCGCCGTGGATGTCGCCCGTCTTGCGCGTGTTCGGGGCGCTCAGCGGGCGCTGGCCCGCGCCGGGGTCGCCTTGAATCGCGTTGCGCTCGCCCGCGGCCTGACGTGTAGGGGCGCGCCCAGGCGCCGCGCGTCGCGACGAGCGCGCGCGTTGCTCCACCTCGCCAGCGTCTCCGAATAGATGCCCATGCCGTAGGCGTGCCGAAAGTTCGCCGTGGCTGTCCGAAGCCGACGTCTTCCCCCTGGCGGACCGGGCCTCAGGTGGAAAGGGCTAACCCTCGCGCGCGCAGCCCAGAAACGTGATCATAAGGTTTGAGGAGGGCCCATTCGGATTAAGAGCGTGAGCTGCGGGCCCCATAGGGAAAGCGCCCCCGCCCAATACTTCCTCGCAGTTCACTCGCGTACAAAGCTCCCGCCTGATCGGGCGCGCGGGCCCATGGCAACAACAAAATTGCCGACGACCAGCTCGGACCAGGCTGCCCGCAATCCGCTCAGAGAAGAGGCCCCCGCCTCATGCTTCCCAATATTCGATCCAATATTCAGACCTCAGCTGCCCGAAAATGAAAATAATTACAACGTTTCGATGATCCACTCGAATTTCTCACATGAGTTGCGGTTCCCACAGGGAGGGGGCTTCCGCCTGATACTTCCTCGCAGCTCTCTCACAGACGAGGCCAGAGCCCAACAAAGACGACAACTACAAGCTTTCCGACGACCCGCTCGGCCTACCAACGTGAAGTGCGGGCCCCATAGGGAGGGGGCTCCCGCCTCAGACTTCCTCGCAATATACTACAGACGAAGCCCCCGCCTGATAGTTCATCTGTTTTCGAGCCTGAAGAGCCGAAACATGATTCTGACGACCCGCTCGGCTTACCAACAGGAAGTGCGGTCCCCATAAGGAGGGGCTCCCGCCTCAGACTTCCTCGCGGTTCACTCACACACCAAGCAAAGCCCAAACATGACTACGTTTACAAGTTTCCAATGACCCGGTCGGGTTGCCAACAGGAAGTGCGGTCCCCATAAGGAGGGGCTCCCGCCTCAGACTTCCTCGCGGTTCACTCACACACCAAGAAGAGCCCACAAATGACTACGTTTACAAGTTTCCAATGACCCCGTCGGATTGCCAACATGAAGTGCGGGCCCCATAGGGAGGGGGCTCCCACCTGCGACTTCCTCGCAATCCACTCACAAACGAGGCTCCCGCCTGCTCCTTCCTCCTACAATTACACGATGGCCCGCTCGGATTACCAATGTGAAGTGCGGGCCCCATAAGGAGGGGGCTCCCGCTTGAGACATCCTCATTCACATACGAGGCTCCCGCCTGATACTTTCTCAAATTTTTCAAACCTCAGGAACCCAAAAAATGACGACAATTATATTTCCGATGACCCGCTCGGATTCCCAACATGAAGTGCGGGCCCTTAAGGGAAGGGGCTCCCGCCTGAGACGTCCTCGCAATTCACTCACAGACGAGGTTCCCACCTGATATTTCTTCCATTTTGCAGCCTTCCTCCATAGTCAAACCTCAAGAACCCAAAGATGACGGCAGTTACAGGGTTCCGATAACCCGCTCGGATTACCAACGTGAAGTGCGGGCCCCATAGGGAGGGGGCTCCCGCCTGAGACTTCCTCGCAAATTCACTTCTTCAAGCGTGGGTGTGAGTGGGCGGGTGAGTGAATGAGTGAGTGACTGAGGATGATGATGGTGATGATGATGATGATGATGATGATGAGTGAATGAGTGGGTGGGTCGGTGGGTGACTGAGTGGGCGAGTGAGTGATGATGATGATGATGATGATGATGATGATGATGATGAATGTGTGAATGAGTGAGTGCGCGAAAAATGACGACGATGGTGATGATAGCGTGCCGGAAAGTGTGGGTGAGTAGGTGGGTGGGTGAGTGTGAGTGATCATGGCGCGTGAGTATTTGAGTGAGTGTGCGAAGGGAGAATTTACACATATATATATATATATATATAGAGAGAGAGAGAGAGAGAGAGACAGAGGGGGGAGGAAGAGGAGAGATCCTGCGCGGAGGTTGTGCAGAGAAAACAAGAACCCCACTTTGGATGTGGGGAACAAACATTCAAAAATATACAAAAGTAAAAAATCGTCGCCAAAGTATGTGTCGACTATTTTTGAATCTTCCTCCTGTAGAAGGACATGCCGAAGCTCCCCGCGCAACCGCGGGCGCCCGGGGGGGCCTCCTGCGCCGCGGCCGCCGACTGGCCGCCCGGCGGCTCCTGGGCCGCGGGCGGGGCGGGCGGGCCGGGCCCCCGCCCCGCAGCTTTGGAGCCCCCCCCTTCGCAAGGCAGTCTCAGCGGCGAAGTGGGGGGGGGAGCTTCCGACCCCCCCCCCTTCTTTGAAAAGTACGCACCCGGGTTAACGCCTTGGGTGAAGCCCGAGCCCCCCCCTTCTTTGAAAAGTACGCCCTGGGTGAAGTCCGGGTTAACCTTTGGTTCGGGAGAAGGGGGGGAAGGGGGGGAGTAGCTTCCAGGCCCCCCCCTCCCCGTAAGCTAAGGCCCCCCCAGCTAAAACATGCAGACAACAGGGGAGGGGGAAGTCTCGGAAGACCCCCCCCCTTTTCCAATGGAGGGGGGGATAGCTTAAAGATGGGGCCACACTTTGAGTGAGAAGTGCACCACAAACGCGCTCTTTCACAGGTCAATGGAATGACACGTGCTATATGCTCGATGCTCGTTCGTGAGTGCATAATGCTTTGACCCTCGAACTCTTGGGCCCTTTCTACAATATTGTCCTGAAGGGAACAATACCCCCTATCGATTCACAGTCTACTTTTTGGCGGGGGTGCAAATTCCAGCCATGCGTGATGCAAAGGGACAGGGCCTGTGATACCAGCAGCATCTAGGAGCTCCGAGGCCTTGATCCACTGAAGGGAGTCGATGGGATCATCGAAAGCTTCTAGCAAGTGGCCAAGCGGGCATCGCCCCTCCGCCATCGTCCTCCATGCCTCCCGAACGGGGATACGAGCGTGACGGGCGAAGGGCTCTGCTAACCTACAGACATCACCGATGTTTGAAAAGCGGACACTGGCCCACGGACCCAGGCCCAACCTCTCCGGACACGACCAAGCGAGGTTGCCACATGCCTGGCCAAGCGAGGGAGTCATGGCCAAGTCCTACTGTGAGCCGAATGAGCGAAGTTGCGCAAACACCTTTCTGAGGGGTCTTACTGGCAGCCCTGGTCATATTCCTGAGCACCATTCGATGAGAAAAGCTTGCTGGCCTCCCTGCAAGGAGGAGGAGGAAGACGAGGACGAGGAGGAGGAGGAGGAGGAGGAGGAGGAGGAGGAGGAGGAGGGAGGAGGGAGGAGGGAGGGGTGGGGTGAGGGGCGGGCCAAGCGGAACGGGCCTGCGGCTGCTGCGGCTGCTGGCCCTGCTGCGGCAGCTGGGACTGCTGCGGCAGCTGGGCCTGCTGCGCTGGTGCCTGCTCCGGGGCCTCCGGAAGGAAGCAATCGTATGCAGAAGTCACCTGCGGCAGGATCGTGTCGTTACGACCACGGCGTTGGTTTCTGACACCGCGTGGGTCGTGCAAGCTTGAACGATCGTGGCTTTAAACAGCGCAGCTGTCTCGATGTCGGCCGATTCGTCACTCACAGCCAGCGTTCATCCTTGAACGTCCGAATCTGGGTCGCACCCACAAACGCCATGCATGTCTAGGGTTTTCGTTGGGCCCTGTCATGGCGCATGCTCCATCTTGGGGTCCAGGATGGCCCTGGCAAAGCACGGGTGGTGGTGTGCAGGTGCCTTCTGCGGAGATGTTGTGTGGGGGGGAGGACAAGGAATGCCTATCGGGCGGACGTCGGAACAGGATCCGGCCTAGATGTGTGACTCGAGGGCAACATCAAACGGTCGGGATTTATATCCACCACAATAAACAATTTTCAGGCACCCTGGGAATCAATGGATCCCCCCTGGGGACCCAAAGGTATCCATGTCACTACCTCCCCGGGTCCTGGGAAATCGTTTCCCAAAAGGATGGGCATGTGAAAGTCCTGGTATCGAAGTGGCAGAAAATGCTTGCTTCTCTGAACACGTGGCTGGGACGCAGAGCGTGTATGCACGACCCAAGATACGTCCGGCGGGCCCAAACCGCCCGCCAGGAGTCGGCGCGAGCTCACATTTCCACGCCTGCCTTGTGGAGATCCAGCGGACAGATCCAGCTGCTATCGGCAGCCTCGGCCACACCGCGGGAGCGTCAGAGCCATACAACGTAGCACAATCAAAACTCCAACAATTCGATGTCACATCATCTGCAAACCATTGAGGGGCACATTAACCCAGCAATGCACTCAAGCCGGGCACATCGTCTGGCACGTGCACCATACGATGGTGTGTAATAGGCTGGCACTTATATAATCGGCGACGTTGTGATGCGTGTGACTCGCCTGAGAAATCCTCACAATGCTCGTTCATTACCTCCCAGGACCCAGGGTTATGTCGGGCATGTCTTCCTACAGGCGGATTTGAGAGGAAACATCAAACATACTTCAAAAACAAAACATCGTTCCAAGAATATGTTTGACCTATTTTTGGATATTCCTCCTGAAGAGGGACATGCCCGACTTAAGCCCAGGGGAGACCTGTCAAGCTCCCTAAAGCCTTCAGTCTCCAGTGGCCTCCAGGCGCCTCCTGGAGCCGCCTGGGGCATTCGAGGGCTTCTGGGGTATCCTGTGTCTCCGAGGTCTTCCCTGGGCTTCGCAGCATCTCCTGAGGCCTGGATGGGCTTCTTCTCGTCCTCCTTCCCCCCTTCCTCTCTATTTCTCCTACGTTTGTTCTTGACGTCCTCCATTCGCCTTCTCCTCCTCCTCCTCCTCCTCCTCCTCCTCCTGCTCCTGCTCCTCCTCCTCCCCCTCCACCTCCACCTCCACCTACATAATCCCTGCGTCCGCCCGTGCCACGACGTGCGGAACAAATTTCAAGATGCAGGAGTACCAGGCGCATGTTCGACGTCTTCCCTGCGCTCATGTATTTTTTGCGCGCGAAGAACCCAGCACCCCCACGTTGGACCCCCCCCCTGGGGCCCAAGGACGTGAACATACATGGAACACGCGCGCGGCAAAACAAATTTGGCCTCCATGCTGGATACCCCTTCCTGGCGCCCGGCGCCTACGCGCGTGAGAAAAACGTGCAGACGCACGCCGAGGCGTATGTCGGATACCCCGTTTAGACACCAATCCACCCGCGCGCGCATGTTGCACCTGTAACCATGCGCCGCCAGCCAATCCGAAACACCCTCCGGGGCTTCCGCTCAGGAAATTGCCACCCCGAGGGCATGCGGAGGCCATTTCGCTCTGCCTCCGACCCCGGCAAGCGCTGGCAAAGAGAGGCGAGGAATGAGGGTGTTTGCGATGTGCCATACCGCTTGAACCCAGACGATACATGACCAAACGAAGTCGAACGCGCCCGGATCCGACTCCTCCCCAAGGGCATGTGGATAAGGCCACCTGCGATCCACTCCCCACTGCGAACACGCAGCAGGAAACGCAGCCGTGCACCTGCGAGGCGTGTGGGACCACCGTTCGCCGCACGCGGAGGCGACTTTCGGCCGCTCTGCAGGGGGGATGTCGCTGTGTGAGCAGGCAGGAGCAGGGCTGTGAGCTAGTGCTGGAGGACGCAGTGCACAGTGTCCAATCCCACGCGCCTGGGCCAGGCAGGCGGGCAAAGGCGCGGGAAAGAGGAAGCAGGAAAAGCAGGAGGAGGCTGATCAGGAGGACGCCGCCGCCGCCCAGCCGTACGGGGTCCCCACAGACGTCCAGCCTGGCCCTTTCCCCAGGTCCAGCTGTTCGTCCAGAGTTCATCTGTGTTCACGGCCTCGCGGTCCAGAGGGAGCCCATCTGGGGCTGAAAACGGCGAAGCCCCCAAAGTTCGACCTTTCGAGGCTTTGGATGTCCGTGGACGTGGATGTGGACGTGGTCGTCGTCATACACGTCGTCCTCGACGTCGTCGTCGTCGTCGTCATTGTCGCTGTCGGCGTCGCTGCCGCAAGGTCGTCGGCATACCGACCCGCTCGGCCTGCTGCGGCTGCTGCTGCTGCTGCTGCTGCTGCTGCTCGGCGGGCTGTTCCTGGGGCAACTGCTGCAACTGACGAGGCGGCCGGCTTTTCTTTTCTAGATCGCTGCGCGCCCGAGAAGGAGGAGGAGGAGGAGGAGGAGGAGGAGGAGGCCCAGGGACACGCTCTGACCAGGGCACACGCCAACTCAAGACCCTCGACGTAGTGATAGTTGTTATGGCTTTCCTCGCAACGTGGACCGGGTTGTGTCAGGGAGGCTGGAGGATCCAGGATGGGGGGTTGTGTCAGGATGGGGGTTGTGTCAGGGAGGCGTGATGCCTGCAGGTCGATTCGTCTACGCTGTTCCTGGATGCTGATGGCTAGCCCTGGAAACAATCATCGGAACAGGAGGAAGACAAGCTCGGTGCGCTCGCGTCATATCTGACGTCCTGCCCTTCCCTCCCATTCCTGACCATGGCGCAGATCTCCTCTCTATTCGCAGTCGGACGCGAGCATGGCAATGATCCCGAGAGGGTGCGCGATACATCGTATAGCACGGCGTAGAAGAGCTCGGCAGAGCGTAGCATGCTCTTAGAATGGCATGGCGTTGCGTGGTGGAGAATTGCATCGCAAAGCATTGTGACGCAAAGAATGGCATCGCACAGCGGCACATAACATAACATGGTATAGCATGGCGTTGAACATCAAACCGTAACATGGCATAGGATGGCGTGGCACTGCATAGTCAAGCACTGTATACCTTAGCATTGCAGCTGAAGGCATGGCATCGCACAGCGGAACACCACATAGCATTGCACTGCATGCCGTGGCATGGCACTGGAAATAATGACGCCAACGCTGCAACGGGAGCACGATTCGCAACGAGCGGAAGCGTGGAAATGAAGCCAACGCTGCAGCGGGAGCACGATTCGGGACGAACGGAAACGCGGAAATGAGGCCAGCGCTGCAGCGGGAACATGATTCGGAAGGAGCGGAAGCACGAAACTGAGGCCAGCGCTTCAGCCAGGACAACATTTTGAAACAAAAACCTGAAAGCGAAAACCCAACAGCCGGGAATCCTGTGTTGAAAAACAATACGCGGAAAGGGGGGCCGAATATCTTCGGACGTCATGAGGGGCGGGAGGGCTGGGGGAAGGAGGCAGTATATATATATAGAGAGAGAGAGAGAGAGAGAGAGAGAGAGAGAGAGAGAGAGAGAGAGATACGCTCCATTGCTATACACACATGGGACCCAAACCCGCGTGAGCCAGAGGGGACATCAGCAGGGGTTGACCGACCCCCGTCAGCGTTGCCCTGCCGCTACCACGTGTTCGGATGAATGGGTAGAAATCCGCCGACCCTGTCGGCGTGTGTGGGGTGACTGTCCGGCCCCGTCGGCGGGGAGCCTTCTTTCGGAGAGAGAAAGAAAAAGAAAGAGAGAGAGAGAGAGGTAGAGAGAAAAAAAAACACCCTTCCTCGTTCGGGGAACGGGTTCGCAGCTTGAGGGAATTCCATCCACGTCCTCATTACGTCAAAAAGAAGCCCCTTCACTTTCTCCTTTCCCCGGCGGAGGTGGGGGATCCCAGGGAGGGAGGGGGGTCAAATTCGCATCGCCTCTGGGGGGCTTCCTCTCCCGCGCTGGTCCTTCTCCGGCGGGCCAGTCCTCCTCGGGTCCCACGGAAGGGAGGGGGTCAGATGCGCATCCGTCCGTGGGGGTCTTCCTCCCTCTCCCACGCCCGTCCTCCTCCGGTCCCCCCCCCCCAAGGGGGGGGGGATCCCAGAAGGGTGGGTCCTTTTCCTCCTCCTTCCCTCGTCCTCCTGTGAAATCGTCGAAGCAATCGGAGTCCCCGACCCTCGTCGAATCGAAGTCCGATTCTCTGCCAAGTTCTCCTCGAACACCTTCCTCCACTGTGCTCTGCGCGCGGAGTGTGGTGATGGTGACCTTTTTCGGTCGGTCGAGAGGCCTCTCGAGCTCAAACGGCAATGGTCAGACGTGCCGTAAATCCCTGCTGTTTTCAATGTGCTGCCACTGGGCCTCAAGGGGGCCTCTGGAGGGAAAAGAATCCAACATCATTCTGTCAGGACCCTCACAACATACATCGCATGGAGTGCAATTTGCACTGGTGGAAAAAAGGGAATGACAACTCGTGCGAACTCTCACCTGGATCACTCGAACATCTGCACAACAGATAACATATCATCATAACTAAATCAAGCATCGCAGCGTCGCTCGAGAGAGCTGCGCCGCACACGCCGTGTCGCAAAAGAAAACCTCTGCTAACATAGCTAGCTTCATTGCGAGGGAAGGGGGGAAGGACAAGAAACGAGATTGGAACAGGATGCAAATCATGATTTGCCGGGGCACCTTCACTCACTGTGCGGCTTCTGCTGCGCTGTGTGCAACTCACGTGTAATCTCCCAGCCTCGCCGAAACCTGTCCGTCACGTGTTTGTGCTGTCCGTGCCGTCCGTCGGGTAATCCAACACTCGTGTAGTTCACCGGGCCCTGGCAGCCGACGTCCCACTTGATGGCGCTCATTTTGACCTTCCTCTCTTTCTGGGTCTCGGTATGTTCCCACTCCTTCTCTAGCTTTGATTATGGCGGGGCCTGGACCTTCGTCCCCTTCTGCGAAAGTTTACAAATCATGTAGCATATATATGGTTACGAGCACAAGCGACATCATGATGCTGAAGGCTCCTTGCACCAACGTGCTCAGCGGCATCTTGATCACTATCCGGGGGCTCTGAAGCTCTTGGTCCACTCGAACTCCACCAGGGCCGTCTCGATCTCACTCTCATAGATCTTCAACCCGCTGGCTGCCGTTGACCTCGACAGAAATGCCATGGCCGCCATCGTCGCTGTCGCACTCGTCTTTGGTCATGACGTGGCAAACCTCTTGGCCTCCTGCTGTCGGTCCTTGGCCGTCTTCCTCTTCGCCGCCTGGAACTTCTCATCGAACTTCAGGCTGACCGTTCCCGTCTTGAGCCGATCGGCCAGTAGCTGTCAGGCTGCCAGCTCGGCGAAGCCGCCTGCGAACTGTCGCTCTGGACTGACCCAATACCAGCCCGTAGCGTTCAACGTCGTGTACTCTTTTAGCACTTGCACCTCGATGCCCGTCCGCTCGTCGTCGAAGTTGTGCACGCGTGGCTTCAGAGCTGCGTCGTGAAGATCCTTGGCGTCCACCATGAGCGCACTCCTTCCCAGCGCAGTCATCGTGCCATTCAGCCTCGGGTCGCGCGTCGGGTCGAGCATCAGGCTGAAGTGTACCTTCACATACTTGAGCGCGTCCACGCCTCCGGCTGCAGCTTGGGCCTCGCTCGCCAACGAGGACCCGCTCACCCGTGGTAGCTTTCATGAGCGCCAGTCGACCACCACGTACCTGACGGTCTCGCCGACCAGCACACTCCTGTGTGCCGCTAGGATGAGGTAGCCTCCTCGCGAGCTTGGATCACGTCCAACTGTCCACGCTGCGCCCGTCATGCAGATGAACGTGACTTCGTCCGGGGCGTCGCATACCTTGGGAAACATCTGGTGCACGTCGCTATTCGCCTTGGCAAACCTCAGCGTCATGTTGGCCTCCACCAGATCCCAGGCTGACGCTGTACTGTAAATGAGGTGCCGCCTGGTTGCTGGGCCACGCCAAGCTTCCCATCAATCGTCGTAGCTGTCGACGCTCGCCCTCGGTGATCTGC